TCCCAAATGTATTATGTTTGGGATCAATTCGCTCTTTCTAAACCTCCATGGCCTCATACTGAGGATGCTGCCTTGTTTACTACTTACCGTGACCAAAAGCGCTTGGTTCAGTTTCTCATGGCTCTCACTCCCCGTTTTGAGCCAGTACGCGCATATTTCCTTCATCGCACTCCTTTACCCACTCTTGAGCCAGCAATTTCTGAACTACTGTCAAAGGAAACTAGGTTTGGTACTCTCCATCTGCACCCTGTGGAGTCTGTTCTTGCTACTCTCCAGATTTAGAGTTCTCCTTCACCACCTTCACCACAAAGGTCAACTGCCTGCAACTACTGTCACAACCGCAATCTTCCGTCGACTCATCTTCTGGTTAATTGTCCAGTTTGTCTTTGTCGGTTTTGCAACAAGACTGGCCCTGGTCATCTCCAACAAGATTACTTCTGCAATCCTGCCCGTGCCTCTCGCAATGGTCCTTTCACCGGGAATTTTTCCCGCAGCAACTCTCGCCGTTCTGGGACTCCATTTAAACCAATGTCTGCTCAACGCACTGCTGCTGCTGCCTCTGAGGATTTACCTTCCTCTGTCCCTATAGACCCTTCCACTCCAATCTTCTCTCAAACAGATGTCGAAGCCATGTTTCAACGTTTTTGGCAGAATTCTAGTACTCCTTCATCTACTGCTTTGTCTGTCACCGCAGGTAACACTTCCTGGTACTTTGACTCCGCTTGTTGTAATCACATGACCTTTGACCCTACTATTTTTACTCCTCTCTCTCTTCTACTCCTCATGTTCCTTCTATCCATACTACTGATGGGTCTCTTCTGTCTGTAAGTCATGTTGGTTCTGTTTCCACCTCTCACTTATCTTTATCCCATGTATATCTTATGCCTGCTCTTACTTTAAATCTTATCTCCATTAGTCAATTATGTGAGCATGGTCTAACTGTTACCTTCTCCCATACTGGTTGTTTGGCGCAGGACCCTCGGACGGGGAAAACTCTTGCGATAGGCCGTAAGCATGGACGTCTCTACGAATTCATCCATCTTCATATTCCAGATTCCTCTCATATCACAACTCCTACCACTGCTACCGCTGCTCCTCCTTTATCTCCTTTTCAACTTTGGCACTATTGTTTAGGCCATCTTTCTGTTGGTCGTTTAAAATCTTTAATTTATAGTGGTCATTTAAGTCCTGTAAGTTCTGATGCTTTAGATTGTGTGTCCTGTCAACTTGCCAAACAACCTGCTTTGTCGTTTAATAAAAGTGACTCTGTTTCTCTTGCACCATTTGATCTCATTCATTCTGATATTTGAGGACCTTCTCATACTCTTACTATGGGAGGCGCACGTTATTTTGTTGTTTTTATAGATGATTTTTCCCGTTTTACATGGTTGTTTCTTATGAAAAATTGCTCTGAGCTCAAACAACTTTATTACAATTTTGCTGCAATGGTTAAAACACAATTTTCTAAAACTATTAAGCTTTTTCGCTCCGACAATACCATGGAATATAAAAATTTTTACTTTCTTTCCTTCCTTCAGAGTTATGGTACTCAACCTCATCGTTCATGTCCCGGTACGTCTCAACAAAATGGACGTGCTGAACGGAAACATCGACATATTCTTGACACTACTCGCGCTCTCCTTCTATCTTCCTCTTGTCCAGAACATTTTTGAGGAGAGGCAGCTCTCACTGCTGCTTACACTATCAATTGTATCCCTACACCTGTCATTCATAATCACACTCCTTATGAGCGTCTACATGGCACCTGTCCCTCTTACACCAACCTTACGGTCTTTGGATCTGCCTGTTTTGTTCTTCTTCAACCTTATGAACGTACCAAACTTGAAACACGTTCCCGCCTTTGTTGCTTCTTGGGGTATGGTATTGAACATAAGGGGTATCGTTGTTGGGATCCTCTCTCCCAGCGACTCCGTATCTCTCGTCATGTGGTCTTTTGGGAACACAAAATGTTTTCCTCTTTCTTTCTCTTCCGTTTGTCCGTTCCCTCACCCTCTCTGTTTTTTACTGACCCTTTCACAGATCTATTTTCTGATGAGCTTACTCCACTGCCCCTGCCAGCCTCTCTCGAGACTACCTTGCCTACTGACCTGTCCCATGCACCTGCTCCCTCTGATGGTCCTGCTCTTGCTCCCTCGGGATCCTTCCCTCCTGGTGAGTCTCTTTCTCTAGCTCCTCCTCCCTCTGCTCGACCACACCGGGTAACCCAACCTTCTACTCGTCTTCGTGACTTTATTATTGGTTCTACTGCTTTTTCTACTTATGAACCGACCTCCTATCGTGAGGCTCGCTCTAATCCTCTTTGGCAGCATGCTATGACTGATGAATTGCAGGCTTTAGACAAAACTCATACGTGGGACATTGTTGATCTTCCTCCTGGCAAGACTACCATTGGCTGCAAATGGGTATACAAAATTAAGACTTGTTCTGATGGATCTATTGAGTGCTACAAAGCCCGCCTTGTTGCCAAAGGCTTCAACCAAGGATATGGTATTGACTATGAGGAGACCTTTGCTCCTGTTGCTCGTCTCACCTCTGTTCGCAGCTTGATTGCTATTGTTACCACTTGACAATGGGATCTTTATCAACTGGACGTAAAAAATGCTTTCCTTAATGGTATTCTTCTCGAGGAGGTCTACATGCAACCTCTCCCTAGATCTACTTATCCACCTCATAAAGTCTGCAAACTTCAGCGTGCTTTATATGGTCTAAAACAAGCTCCACGTGTTTGGTTTGCCAAGTTCAGCTCTACTATTCATGAATGTGGTTTCACCTCCAGCTCTTATGATACTGCTCTTTTTATCTGGAAATCAACTCAAGGGACCACCCTACTTCTGCTTTATGTGGATGACATGATTATCACCGGTGATGATATCGATGGTATTCTTCGCCTGAAACAATTTCTTAGCCATCATTTTGAGATGAAAGACCTTGGTCCTCTCAGCTATTTGTTGGGTTTTGAAATCTTCCATGATTCCACGGGTTCTTTTCTCTCTCAAGCTAAGTATACCTCTGATCTTCTCACACGTGCTAGTCTTACAGATTGCAAGACTACCTCCACTCCCCTGGAGCCTCAGAGTCGTCTTACACCTCTTGATGGCACTCTTCTTTCTGATGCTACCCTATATCGTCAGCTGGTTGGCAGCCTTGTTTATCTCACTGTTACTCGTCCTGATATTGCCTATGCCGTTCATATTGTCAGCCAGTTTATGTCGGCTCCTCGTACCCTTCATTATGCTACATTAGTTCGTATCCTTCGGTATCTCAAAGGCACCCTGTTTCATGGTCTTCATTATTCCGCCTGCTCCTCTCTCCAGCTTCGTGCTTTTTCCGATGCTGATTGGGCTGGGGATCTTACTGATCGTCGCTCTACTACCGGGTTCTGTTTTTTCTTGGGTGATTCTCTTATTTCTTGGCACAACAAGAAACAATCTCTTACTGCTCGTTCCAGTGCCGAGGCCGAATACCGTGCTCTTGCTGATACTACTCAGGAGTTTCTCTGGCATCGTTGACTTCTTGCTGACATAGGTGTTTCCCCCTCTGGCGCTACTATCCTCTTTTGTGACAATCAAAGTGCTCTTCAAATTACTCACAATGATGTTTTTCATGATCACACCAAACACATTGAGATTGACTGTCATTTTATTTGTCAAACACGTCACTCGTGGTACTGTCCATCTCCATCCAATCTCTTCTGCTGATCAACCTGCTGATATCTTCACCAAAGCTCATTCTCCTGGCCTCTTCGTTGACCTTGTCTCCAAACTCCAGTTGGTTGATGATTGTCCTCCTTGAGTTTAAGGGGGGCTGTTAATATAATATGTTAATATAATATGTAATGTATTAATGTATGTATACAGCTAGCTCAGATAGATAGGATTCCTTTTCTTTTTCTTTTCTTTTTCCTGCTTTCGGTCGCCCGTCTTCTTTCGGCCTCCTTTTCATTATTATATTACATTGTATCATAATGTTGTTTGTAACACAGCTCCTATATAATGGAGCCTCTATTTGGTTTCTGATATATATTGAATCACAGAGTTTGTTCTCTCTCAATATCCCTCTCTCAACTTGTTTTACAGCTAAAAAGATTAAGATAAGTGATAGGAAGGCAAATAATAAGAATATATACGAAATTTTATTTTATTTTTTTACATTAAAAATATATATATATATATATATATAATGAATAAAATTGGGACAGAAGTGGGGAAAGTGAGGTGGGAGAAACAAATCCCGTTCCCTCCCCGTTTTATTATTGGGATCAGAAATGTTTAGGACCCTCTTTTTTGGGGTTCTTGGCCTTTGATGTATTGTGGGATTCACTCATATATATGTGGGCCCCACATTATGAGCGGTTGGGATAAGAATAGAGATTTTGGGAGTCATATATGTGTAAAGGTCTCTCTATCACAATTATACTGGGATAAGGGATATAAGGTCGAGACAGGAGCAAGACAAATTGACATTCCTAATCTATCACACGATCACAACTAGAGAGACCCATAGTATGATAGAGAGACAGTTTAATACCCAAAAAAAAAAAAATTATTGTTTTGAGTGAAGCCCTCTTTGATTGACAGGCAAATAATAGGGAGCCTGCATATGCTTTTGGACACAAAAATGCCATCTGCCTTTATCTATGTGGATCATGATTGGAATAGATTCTGCATAAGGAAACATGTAAAATTTCATAGACAGAAAAGTGAGTAGAAGTGACTTTGGTCCAAAAAGCAAAAGGAGATTATTTAAATTGAGAATCTGCAAACAGAACAAGCTAGAGAAAGTAAGAAACTGATATAATCATACAAGCATTACCAAGGTTCATTTGGACCTAGCCAGCAAAATAATTAAGCAACTGAATCAAAAGGTTATTAGTCTGAACAAAAAGTCTTTAGGCAAGGTTCCAGACTAAGATATGGTAGTCTAACCAATCAAAGAAATCTGTAAATAAATGCCATTAAGAGAGAGAGACAGAGAGAGAGGGAGAATTGGTCATTATAAAAATTGCAGCATAATTGCAAGAAGAATAGTGCACAATTTGTCTCGAATTCTACTCACCAAGAAAACGCACAACGTAAGAAATGTCTACCTACATATTGGCCAATGCCAAGAGATCCCGAGGTTGGAGTTTTAAAACCAACACAATTGGCCAGTCTACATTATGTGAATCTTTTCTCCATCACAAACTCTCACCTGCTTTCATCGGAGACAAAACTACTCAAAACACCGAGCGAACAGACAACAGACCAGGTTACCTGTGTTAGGACTGACTTTAGTGTCACTCCGTCACTACCACATTGAAGGCACGTAAACTTGTTCTTTTAGATTTTGCGCAGCACTCTCTGTAGGAAACCCTCTCACTGCACCTATTGTCCACTGTGCTATAATCCCTGCGGCAACTGCAAAGCGAAGCTGCCTCTCCAAAAAATCTTGATTTTCAAACATCTCAGGTTGTGTAGTCAACTTTCTAATGATAGCCGCTACAACAGCATCACCCGAGCCTGTCCTGTCACAAGTGAATGGAGTTATCAGGACATCCTCTGTTCCAATCACCACACCATCGAAAGAAGGGGCATAATAATGAATCCGAAGCGTTCCATCAGTCACGAACAAAAATTTTAACCCATCATGCCACAATGGGGATATTTCCTCACGGGTGTAATGGTAATAATCTCTCCTGTTCTTAGTTTGCTCATAATTCTCGGCATAGTATTGAGGCCTGTAATTTCTCTTCCTTTCGTAGTACTCTTCGTCCAGAAGAAATTCTAGTTCTTGCCTTGACACCTCAATTAAGTCTGCTTTTTCCCAGGCCGCCTTGATCACTTCCCTCGTCTCGTCACGTGATTTCCACAGAGGTAAGGGCAGATTCAAATCAAAAAATATAAGGCCGCCAAACTTTTTAGACAGTGAAATTGCTTTGAAAAGGGTAGAATGCATACAAGGTCTCATTAGGACTTCTGAATTGAAATGAAACATTCTAGCCTGCAAGAGTGTAGACAAAGAACACAGACATTTGGTTAACAAATTGAGTTCACATATGTTATAAGTTTTCATAGTTAAGCTAGCATACCATCCAACTCAACCATACCAAAGTACTTAGGAAATCACATTCCATTAGTTGACACCTTCCATCTCTTACAACTAAGGGGTTGTCTGGGAGAATTAGCCTTTGTTTGGGATGTGGGTTGACTTTTTGACTTTTTGACTATTTTAGTCTCGGATTAAAAAGTCTCGTTTGGGATGGGCTTTTTGACTTTTTTAACTTTTTTGAGAAAAAAATGAAATGATTATGGTTTGAATGTGACATTTTGTCTTATTGGATTAAAAAGCCTATTTTGTTTTTTTGTGACTAAAATAGTCCAAACCCAACCTAAACCTTCATGCAAAACGAACCCATTAGGATTCGTTTTTTAACTTTTTACGAAAAGATGTGCAGAAAAATAAAGAGATGATGTGATGTAACCTAAAAAAAATAAAAATATAATAAATAAGTGCACTTTTTTAGTTCTAGCCAAACAACCCCTAATGCATGTAAAAGTTTAAACCTGTAACATTTCCATTTTTTTTTTTTTTGGCTCAATAAAAAAAAAAGTAAGAGGAGACAACTAGCTCATAGCAACCCTCCCTGGGCGTGAGCATAGGTGGCCTTACCAGCTGGACAGCCGGACAGGGGCCTAGTCAAGCCTGGCAACATGGGTCATGCTCAAAGTTAAAGCCTTTAAGAATGAGGCATAACAGGATAAACAGTGAACTTTCGAGCACCATGTTTATATGAAAACTTTTGGGTTTATGGAGCTTGATTAATGATGTACACTTCATCACTCAGACGCAGATCCTAGCATATAATGAGGGTAGTACTAAGCGTGTTACAGTGATTTGTTAATGTAAACCCTAGCATATATAGATATATATATATTGTCGTCTTCACAACAACCGCATTCCATTCTTTCCTTCTTTTAATATAGTGATGAGCAGTAGGCATAGAAAATGTTGTCGAACCACATAAACTTGTGTGCCATGATTGTTTCTGCTTACTATAGTTTATGTGTGCGGTTTTTTCCACAACAAAAACAGTTTCAAGATGAACAAAGGGAAAACCATCTCATCACATTTGAAACATTCATCAAACATTATAAACAACAATTTCCATTAACATACTCTGTACCCATATATTAAGCATCATCAAAGCCTACTTTTCTACTCAAAATCACTTTATACAACAAAAGAACTAAAATGTGCTTAATTACCTCTTTGAGCACAGCAAGATTGAGCTCAGACCCAATCAACGAATCCTCGGCCGACTCCTTCACCACCTCCGCCGTCATCTTCCCCTCATCATCAAACTTAATTCTCATATAAGCACAACCCGTTTGCACATTCTTATCAAACTTCACAGCCCGAGTCTGAACTCTCTCCTTATTCATCATAAAAACCAATTCTTCCCCAAATTCATCGTCCCCAACCTTCCCCATAAACGCCGCCCGGCCACCGAGCCTGACGTGCGATATGGCCACGTTCGACGGCGGCCCTCCGACTGCCCTGGCGAACTCTGGCGGTTTCCACTGCATCATCTTCCACTCCGAGTATCTATCCTGATGCATTTGCTCCTCCGAAACCCTCACCGTCGGCACAAACTCCTTCTGTGCGGCTCCGAAGCAGCATATCAATGGTGGGTCTTCGTACGGAAAGTCAATCCCATCATCATAGTCTTCGTCTTCAACATCGTTTGTTGATTCTATGGTTCCATTTGCTTCAATTGTGCCGTTCTGGGACTGGGTTTTTCGGGTTCGTTTCGGTTTCGATGAGGATTGGGTTTGGGAAGTTGTGGGGTTTTTCTTGCGGCCTCGGCGATTGGGTTTGGGGGTTTGTGGGGAGGTGGTAGGGTCGCCATTGATGGAAGCTCTGGGAGGTTTTGGGTTATGCAATTTGGGAGGTCTGGGAATGGGGATTGGAAAGGTTGCTGAAATTGAGAAGTGGGTTGGTGAGTAAAGGAGCAGCATGAGAGTTTGGAAGATTTGATGGAAGAAACTGAATTGCTGCCATGGAGGATTGCTAGGGTTTATCCATGTGTCTTCTTCACTCTTCACTCTGTTCCAGCCATCTTCTTCTCACGGAACTGTTTTTGACCATTATCGGGTTGTTTTTCAGGTACCAAATGAATCGGGTTCAGTCAAATGGTTTATGGCCTGTTGGGTATTACTATGGGAAAGTGATTACAGATTATAACTTAACAGATTATAATTTATAGTCGTGAATATAAGCTGTTAACCTGTTTGGTATAGCTATGAGCTAATGGATTTAAGCAGCATAGTAATATTTAATTAATAAGTTGTAAAATAATTTTTTACTGTATAATTGTCTTTTTTGTTCATATATGATATAAAAATGATTATTTTGTCATTTTTTTAGTTTTAATTTTAAAAAAATTATTTCATTAATAAAAGTTAAAATAATTAGTATTACAAAAAATTATAATTTTTATTATAAATTAATTAGTGTCAATTATAATTTTGTTTTTATTAATTTTGTAATATAATATCCATTTTTAATAGAAGTTAATAAAAGTTAATTTTTTTTTTATGTAATAGAAGTTATAATAGCTTTTTTTATAATATCCATTTTTATAATATTAATTCTATTATTATTATTATTTCATTACAATTAATAATATAGCAATTGTTATTTTTTTAATTTATTATTTTTTTTCATAACAATTAGTAATATAACAATTGTGCAATTTATTTCTTTATTTAAATTGTGCAATTATGCAATTTTTATCAATAGTTGTGAAATAAATTAAATGGAAGTTAATAAAAGTTTTTTTTTTTTCTTTTTTTTCATTATAATTTTGCGAAACCCTAGATCTGATTTTGCCTTTGCCAGAGCCGGAGCCGGACTTCATCCACTGCGTGTGTTTGACTGAGGGTGTGTTTGACTAATGTAGGAAGAACCCAAATGGGTCGAAAGGTTTTGAAGGGGTTGGGAAGCGATTAGGTGGTGGAGAGACCATTAGAGAGCTCATCGTCGTTGACTGATCTGGGAAGCGATTGACTGATCTGGAAAGAACCCAAATTTGTCGTCGTTGTAGTCGATGATCGATTTTTTGTTGTGGATCTGATCAGAATGGAAAGCGTAATTGGTGAAGGACGCGAATGTGAAGTCGCCAAAGCACTCATCGTCGTCTTCCTCTGCTTTGGTAGCCACCATAGCCGAGAACTCTTTTTTTTTTTTTTCTCTCTCTCTCTCTCTCTCTAGGTTTTTTTGGTGATCGTGTGTGGTTTTAGAGCTCGCATTTGACCGCCGAAGCCCTCATCGTGGTCGTCCTCTACTTTGGTGATCGTTTTTTTGGTGATCGTCGTCTTCACCGAAAATCGCATCTGATCACCGGAAATCGCCTCTCACACCGGAAATCACCTTCTCTCTCTCTCTCTCTTTCAGAGTGATCAGTGTTAGTCTGAACTCAGAACTGTGTTTATATACTGGCATTTTCGTAATTTCTTATGTTTTAGAGGGGCATTTAAGTCATTTTTCCCTCCATGATCAGTTGCGCGCATAAGCTAAATTGATAAGCACCCTTGGAGCAACTTTGAGATTTAAGCCGAAAATGGCTTAAATTAAGCTATAATTTGTGCCTTATAAGTTGTTCCAAACACACCAACATAGCTTAATTTAAGCCAAAAACTTATTTAAGTTGGAAAAAAGTTTTACCAAACAGGCACTATATGGGCTTGGTTTGGGAAATATCTTGGCTTTTTACTTTTTTTGCTATTGTAGCCTAGGGTTAAAAAGTCTAGTTTAGGAAGAACTTTTGACTTTTTTAGCCTTTTTTTATTTTTTTGTGAAAGAAAGAATGTAGTAATTATGGATTGGATATGATATTTTGTCTTATTAGGACTAAAAAGTCTATTTTATTTTTTGTAACTATTTTAGTCCCAAACCCACTTCCCAAACAATGCCATTATTGTAGATTTGAAAGTTTTTTTTAAATTTTTTTTGGGATATAATTAATAAAGAAATTCTAGAAAGTCTCTATTAATGCACAGAGAACATGCAGATAGGGATGTTCGAATCACTGCTTTCTCATGTTTAGGTTATTTTTTGGTTAAAATTTACCATAAAAAAAAAAAACTAAAATAGTTAATAAGATAAAATGTCACAGCAAATTCATAATTATTTCACTTTTTCTCTCACAAACAGTATATTCATCTACAAAAAAATTCAATCATCTTCCCAAACACAAAAATTTTAACCAACTAAAATAGAATCAGGATCCTCTTCTTGACTTTCCTCCTTGACTTCCTATTTGTTGGGTTATTGGGCTCACTTTTAGGCCCAATTTCGATGATCCGAACCGTTCACATTTTAAGATTTGTTAAGTATATCATACCTGTAAAAAATCAATTTGATCGGATATCAGAAAGCATGTGTTCGATCATTGAACTAAAAACCTTTTTTTTTTAAATTTAATAAACAATTTTCCGAACACATGCTTTCTGATATCCGATCAACTTGATTTTTTACAAGTATGATATAGTTAACAAATCTTAAAATGTGAACAGCTCGAATCATCGAACTTGGGCCTAAAAGTGGACTCAAAGGAGGAAAGTTAAGGAGAGGATCCTAATTCACTAAAATAGCCAAAAACTAGAATAACTTACTAAAATAATAACTTTCCAAACCGGAGCGGGGTCACTACTGTGCCCCCTCCCTGCTGTGTTCATGCTGTGCCGTGAAACGGCACAATTTCACATCTTTTTTTTCTTTTCTTTTTTTTTCTCATGTTCTCACACAGTTTCATCTTCTTCTTTTTTTTTTTTCTTTTCTTTTTTTTTTCTTAAAATTTATTTATTTTTATTTTAGAGTTTAGAGTTTTCTTAAAATTTATTTTTTTATTTTAAAGTTTAGGCATAATTTTTTTATTATTCTTTTCGGATTTAGGATTTAGGGTTTAGGGTTTAGGGTTTAATTCTTAAAATTTATTTTATTTTATTTTAAGGTTTATGGTTTAGGGTTTAATTCTTAAAATCTACAACATGCTTGGTTAGAGTTTTCCAAAAACTCTTTTCTACTTTCTTATTTTTCGAGTTTTTTTATTTTTATTGAATTTTTTTTAATATTTTAAGCAATTTTTATTTTACTTTTTAGACATACCTAACATAAATATATCATAAAAGTAAAAAATTTGTGAAAGAAACCTTTTAAAAATTCACTAAATACCAAAAATATACAAAAAAAAAATACGAGAATTCCGTACATATTTTTTATTTTTATGTATTTATTAATTTTTTAAAATATTTTTTCACAAATTTTTTACTTTTTAGATACATCTAAGTAAGGTGCATCTAAAAAAGTAAGTAAGGTGCATCTAAAAAAGTAAAAAAAATGTTTAAAATTTTAAAAATATTCACTAAAAACAAAAAAACACGAAAACCAAAAAATTCAGTTTTCAAAAAACTTAATTTAAAAAACTCAAACTAAACACACTAAATTATTTTTATTTTAGAATTTAGGGTTTCATTTTAATTTTTTAATTTTTATTTTAGGGTTTACGGTTTAGGGTTTAGGTTTAATTCTTAATTTTTTTTTTATTTTACGATTTAGGGTTTAATTTTTAATTTTATTTTATTTTAGGATTTAGAGTTTAGGGTTTAATTCTTAATTTCTTTTTTTTTTTAAGGATTTAGGGTTTAATTCTTAAATTTTTTTTATTTATTTTACGGTTTAGGGTTTAGGATTTAGGGTTTAATTTTTAATTTCTTTTTTTTATTTTATTTTAGGGTTTAGGATTAAGGATTTAAATTTAATTCATAGTGAGAACATAAAAAAAGGAGGGGGGTGAAATTAAATCCTAAATCCTAAACTCTAAACTATAAAAAAGAAGAAGAAGAAAAAAAAAAGATAAAACTATGTGAGAACATGAAGAAGAAAAAAAAAGGGGTTGAAACTGTGCCGTTTCACAGCACAGCAGAACACAGCAGGGAGGGGCATAGCGGTGACCTCGCTCCCTTCCCAAACACCCACAAAGAGTGGATATGATCTTAGGGAATTTTTAATATACACACTCTTGAAATGGTATATTGTATGTACTCTTAATTATACTATTTTTTCTTTAATTATGACTATTTTGTTTCTTTAATTATGATATTATTTTAATTATAACTCATGAGATCTTTAATTATATCTCGTGCTGTGTTTAGTATAATATTTATTTTTTTAATTACAATTCAAAAAGTATAAAATTATGTTTTTTTTTATAATTATAATATGTATATGAGTGTATATCATAGTATTTCCCTTCTTAATAATATTTATGACATATTTGTGTGAAGAGTTTGAAAGGTTTATGCTAATAATAATTAAATTGGGAGAAAAAATGTTTCAAAAAATTAAAATCTGAAGATATTTTTTATATATTACAAAATATTTTTGTATATTTTTTAATGTATTTTTTATAGGTCTATTGAGACTAATGATAGTTATTTAGATAGTCACTAACATTTTTCGTGTTTAAAAAGTGGAATTTTTTTTTTTAAAAAAAATTGCAAAGGTTACTGTTATTTTCATTCTCTTTTTAACTAATGTCTATTTTGAAAAGATGGTTAAAAATTAATTTTTTGATTTTTTTTTAAAAAATGTGTAAAAAATATAAGAGATGATGTGACTCAAAATGGGTTAAAAGTTAGTTTTTGACTTTTTTTAGCTCTTTTTGTTTTAGTAAAATAAAATAAAACCCTTGACACTTTTGTCAACTAATTAAGTTGTCGCTGCTTATCATGAGAAAAATAAAATAAAATAAAATAAAATTGTCACGCACTAAATCTTTACACTTTTATTCTTTCATATTTGAAGAGGATAATTGTTTACGATCATGCTATCTAGCTCGAATTTCATGGCTCGACATTTGGCTCAACACCAAAACGACGTCGTTTTGTTGTCGATTTTTTTTTTTTCTTCTTCTTTTTTCCCTAGTTTTGCAGAACGAAGAAGAAGAAGAAGAAGAAGAAGGGAGAAGAAGAGAAGGGAGGAAGAGGAGGAGGAAGGAGAGGGTTGCACAGAGTAAGGGACAAAGATGTATTTGGCCGTTTTCAAAGATGTGTATATGCTTGGAAAGTGAGTTAACTTTTAAATTTTTTTAATTATTTTAATTTGAGGTTAAAAAATTTGATTTAAG